AAATATTTAAAGGCTTTTTAAACAGTTTAAACTGGCAAGTGGGCCAGAAATTTCAAACCCCATAAAAACTATCAAAAACCTTCATATTCTCTCTCTTATGTATGATCTAATATTCTAAAATCCAGATTATATACACTTCAAAGAGTAATTTTGTGTTATCAGATTCAGAAGTTAACAAAAAAGAACTGAAAAAAGTAGTAGGTGCACCACCACCACTGATAGGCCAGGAGAACCTTTACCCTGATGTCGCAGCCTGGAAGACCATGACGCAAGTGTTCTTCCATGGGTAACAAGGATGGAATGAGTAGAGTCCTACTGTCCCAGGTTAGTGCCACTTCAAACTTGTTTAACAAGTTTAAAATGTATGTCTGAGCATCTGATGGAGCACACTGGGAAGACTTGAAAACATGCTTCAAATCTTCTGTTTTCATTATACCTAAAACATATAAATGTATTTCATATTTGTAAATAAAATGAATAACAGCATTTTTATCATAATGTGAAATAACATACATTAGCTATACCCAAAAGAAGTTTAAACAAAACATACATTCAAAAAATATGATATGTAGATTACACCAGTTTAAAATTCAATCAAACAAAATATCATCCATATGATACCTTAATAGAAGATACATAGACCAAAAATAACCCTAACAGTAAAGACATGAAGTAAAAAACATAATTCACTATATTTGTACATTCTCATCCTGTTTGAGGAAATGCATATATTCATCTGAGCATTAAACATCTTTATATTCAGAATATGCATACAAATCCATGAAGTGGCTGCCTAATTGTGTATTTTAGTATGCTCATAAAAACATAACCTAAACAAGCAGCAAAAAATAACTATAGAAGAAGTCTAAGTACTAGGATTTTGAACATGCCTGAATCCTATTGCAAAAATTATAGCAGTTAGCTTGCATTAAAATATTCAGTTAAAAATTGAGACCAGGACAATTAAACAGATTAACTGATATAATCAAAAGTTAAGACTTTCTTAAATTGAAAATGTATTTCTGATAATACTTACCTCCACTCACACTTACAGCTATTACTCAACTGCTAGAGTTTCCTTCCTTTGCCCACCTAAGCACTGGTCTGATTTTTTCTCACTTGCCCAGTCTTTTATTCCCCACTTAATTGCTCTTAATGAT